TCGTCACTCAGCATCAACAACAAAATTCGGATTTTCAATACAAACGTAAAGTTAGTTCTTCTATACGAATCAGAAACTTGGCGGGTCACAAAGAATATTTCCAAAAGGCTGCAGACCTTTATTAACAACTGTCTTCGCTCAATACTGAAGATCAGATGGCCGGAAAGAATCACCAACAAGGAATTATGGGAACAAACAAAGCAAGAACCAATCGCCAACCAACAAATATGCAGGAGAAAGTGGAGATGGATCGGACACTCTCTGAGGAGACCGCTGGATGACATCGCGCGCCAAGCCCTCGAGTGGAACCCAAAAGGGAAGCGGCGTGTGGGATGTCCAAGGGTGACATGGAGGAGATCGTGTGAAGAGGAGTTGAAAGAATATGGATTAACATGGATGCAGGCGAAAAGTATAGCAGAAGACAGAAGAAAATGGAGGCGTGCAGTTGAAGCCCTATGTTCCACTAGGAACCCAAGGGAGCAATAATAATAATTATTATTACTATAAATGAAAGTTGAAGCAGATAAGACAGTGATTAAAAGGCGTGCTTACAATCACTAGACCTAATGGTAAGAAGGACAAACCACCGCAGGTCAACTTAGTAGATAAACACACGGCCAACATGGTTGAACTGATTGCCTCCCCCCTCTCGAATCTCACAAAAATAACTCAACAGAACATGAAACCAAACGAAAGACTTATGAACTATAATCTTACTCCTAAAATTACCTCTCCACCCTCTACCGTCCGTCTAGATATGTCGCTAGACAGCCATAAGACAGATATTAATCCACCTTGTAAGACAACAACACCCTCTCCTAGCCATCACGTGAGAATTCAAATGGAATTCGGTAACAAATATACCACTTGTTATGAAAAATAGCCAACATTTTCAAACTCCTAAGAAGAACCCACGCTGTGAGGTAAACAATATACAGAACTATGCTGACAACTAAACTAAAGACACATATAAGTGCATAGGGTCCACGGACGACACAACTGGCTTGCGTACTATGCAAAGACACACTAGTAGCTGGTGTAGTGACACTATCACACAAAATACTGCAAGTGACAACGCTCAGAGCTCAGCCACCAATCACTATGTGTCTTCAAAGTATGACACACAAACCAACTTTGACAGAATATACGGAACGAGTCTGGTGGGAATCAAACCACAGCGCAGCAATGCATATAACGAAACCCATGTAGGGTCACTCAGAATGTACACAAAAATAGGTAGATCAATAAGTCATGGGCGTCACAAGGTACCAATGATTTTTATCCACCAAATCCCTGTCGGCGCCAGCAAAACAACTGGTGGGGATGTTAACTTTTCTGAAACAGTACCACTAATGTCCACTCCCTATCGGCAAGAAAACAGACACGGTCTATTGAACATGGAGTTACTATTATTCACATCCAATGCTTGCACAAGCATAGGCCAAATAAAAAACTCTTACACAAGCCAAGAACTACCTCACCCTATAGTGAATCCAATAATAAAACTCATTATTCACCAAAAGAAATAGATAGTAACTCGATAGACATGGGTGAACATAGCACTCACACTAGTTGCAACAGAGGGCTGTTACGCCATGCGGAACCAGTGGATGCTGACCCACACTTGAGCCTGACTGGCGAGCTCAAATACTTAAAATGCTACTTCAACTTTACTGAATGTTTATCAGTGCTAGATCTATCCCTAAAAAACTTCCGGTGCCCAAGGCGCGCACGCTGGTATGTAATCCCCCAATAATCATTCTTACTGAATCCCGGTGTCAACCCAATATACCAGACGAAGAAATAAGCATCGATGTTACAGGAACAGTGGTAAGAGAGGAGACTGTCTGATATACTTCCTGAACGAACTTGCTGTATTACAGATAGAAAATAGGGAACTGAATGACATCCACGACACGCTGTCAGCGTACACTTCAAATGTGCTACACTACTAGTATAACGACAGAAGACAAGAGTCAGGCAATAGATCGTTCATTAAGGAAATCAACACAAATTTGTACATTTCCATGTACATATTATAGATTACTGTTAACAGAAAAACACGTTCCTTTGATTGGTTGTTTCTCACAGAAAGTTAATTTGTATCTCTTTGTGGCTGTTTCTTGAATGTTAGATCATCTTAGTGTTAATAATATCCGTCTAAGCAAAGCATTTGTTCTTATTTTTCTCACGACCGATAATGGGGCATAAACATTAACGAAAATTATTATATCCTTTAATTTAGAGGAACACAGGGCTTCAGCTTTGCGTTCGGTTCTCTTCCAACGTTTTCACCCCGCTCCAAGTCTGCCCACATGACCTCCTCCAAGTGACCCTCATGCTGACGACCAACTCGCTACTTCCCTTTCGGGTTCCACTCGAGCAATGGCTGGTCTAGTGATGTCATTTGATGGTTTCCTCAGCGTATGGCCAATCCATCTCCATTTCTTCCTGCCTATTTATTTCACAATCGGTTCTTGGTCAGTTCGCTCCCAGAGATCCCACCCTATTGCTGATCTTTTCTGGCCATCTGATCTTGAGCGAAGATAACTGTTAATGAAGGTCTGAGGTTAGTTTGAGTTGCTTTTTCTGACGCGCAGTGCAAGTCTCTGATCCATATAGTAGCACAGACTTCCCATTGAAGCTGAAATTCGGATCTTATTTTTCCATGCGGAGTGCTGTTGACCTCCACACAGACTTGACAGTAATGAAAGCTTGTCTTGCTTTTCCGATTCTGGCCTTGATATCCACGTCGGTTCGTCAGACGTAAATTACTGTCTACTAATTTGGTTAGCAGCCATTTCTCACCACTCATCCCCCTCCGAAATCGTTTGGACTGAAGTCGGCGGGCGTCATCGTTGGCTTATTTCGTTTTATCCATTTCTGTAGCCCGCTGAAGTTCATCCGTTTCTGTCTGTTTGCATTTTTGATGGTATATACGTGAGCCCGTCTCGTGGTGACCTTGTATGGTCCTCCCCACTTTGGTAGCAGTTTTCGCGACCCTGGCACGTTATAAGTGTAGTTAAAGATTGAAAGATCAATTCATGGTTGTTTGCTTAAACCCCGCTCCTAACGAAAGTGAAAGATGGAATGCGAACGTATGAGATGCTTACACAATTGGACATACGCAGGTCTACTTAGGAGCGATGAAAAACCTATGCTGATGTGTACGTGGTCTCCGGAATCTGAAAACATTGAATTCGGTATGTACCTAATGTGGTCACAGGAAACCTTGAGAACCCGGCTCTTGACGCTTCTCTATTGCTTTATAGATCAAACTTCAATTCGAAAGTTTGGAGAGTGGCTCTTTAGGATGATCGTCTTGCTTTGGTCAGTATCTCAGTACTCTCACACCTTACGAGATTTTATGCGGCGCACTTCACGGTATCAATAATATGCTTTAAAAACATATCTTCCCACGATCAAAAGCATTATGGAACTGTTTCAGCTGATGCCACTTCTGGGATGCCTTTGTCCCACCACTTATTTCATTATTACTATGCACATACCCGTTCGATTCTGTACGCAATATGTGAAAGCAATTGAAATCAGAATTGAACTGAATACTTTCTGAGATCAGTTAACCATATCGATAACTGAATCGCACTTCGTGCTTCAAAACAGCACTGATCCATAACGGGAAACTCAGAGAGAGACGTTAAAAGTGAATACAGAAGTAAGACAAACTGGCTGAATGCCTATTATCACCAGCGATGATATTCTTAATTGTGGTGGACTGAATTATGTGGAAGAATGCGCGTTCGGTGAGAGGAATCAGAAATACACTAGACCACCGATAAGAAGACTCTAGAAGATCTGGATCTCGCGCCTGGATGATATATGTCTACTGTCACACGAAATCGATGACTTCGAGGCAGGTGAAAACCAACAAACTTTCTGAGGAGGCTGACTGGTAGAGAAAACAAGACTCCATCAAAGTGAATATAGAGACGGAGGAGATGTAGATAACAAACTAAAAGAAACAACAACCAGCACCAATCACTATCAACGGGAGATTTGACAGAGTTTACCTACTTCACTTATCCAGGCTGCAGCATCGTTCCAAAAACAGTTAGTCGGAACGAATGAAGATATCAAAGCCAGTCAGAATCAGAAAGGCAACATGCACCTTCATCAACCTGAAACCAGTTTAGAAATTTTCTGCTTCAACCCGCCTCAGCATAGGGAAAATAGCATTCGCAATTTCAACACAAATGTCAAGTCGATCTTTCTATACGGGTCAAAAGCTTGCACTGCGTGTGCGTTAAGGAAAGGATTTCCGACAGGTCACTGCAGACTTTCATCAACAGCTGTCACCTTCGCTGGCTCCATACTGAAGATCAGATCGCCAGCCAGTCGGCTCACCAGAAAGAATTAGTACCAAGAAACTCTGCAGTGGAACAAACCACAAAGTAAGAGCCGACTACTCAACATATATGTGAGAGAAAATAGAGATGCATTGACCGGGTATATATTGAGAACACCGTCGAATGACATAGGGCGCAACGCAAGCCATCCGTCACTCAGGTGGAATACCAATGGGAAGTGACGGACGAGTGGTCGTCGGTGCGAGAATGATATGGAGATCACTTGGCAAGGTGGAGGATGAGTAAATGAGAGGTTATGGATAGTCGTGGAGCTAGACAGTTGAAGAGGACGGCAGAAAAAAGGACAAAGTGGAGTCGTGGTGCTGTTGAAACCGGCCCTATGTTCCACTCGGAACCACTCAAGGGAATAATAAAATTCACAAAAAGAGAGGGCGTTTGTTAACTGATTACTTTTTAAAAAAACAAACAATAAAACTGCCTTATAAACAAACAAAAATAAACAATGAAAATAAACAAACATAAACAAAAATTAGTTGGTAATATCATGGAACAGCAAACCAGTAGCCGTATGAAAGACAAAAAGGCTTATATATTACGTCAATCCAGAAAGTCACGTCAAATGACAATGTCCCGCGTCCCCCTCCTCTCCCCAACAAGGAGGTCTTTCTCTTCTTATATACGCGATTTCTCACCGATGTGTCTTGTTTCTGAGGCGAAAATATCAACAAGAAAAAAAGAATAGAAATGAAACTTATAGCAGCAAAATGCTCACAAGATTTATTTAACACGCACATAATGATGAAGTGGGAATTCGCCACCTCACTAATATAAAAAGAAAGAGTGAGGACACACAGCAATACTGTATGCATACATAATCAATTTGATAATGCCCATAATTATTAAGAATACTAAGGAAGATTTGTAGCTCAGGTGGATGATTTTGAATGAGTTGTTTTCCCTGAGCAGCTGGTTGATTTGCCTTTAAATTGCGAAGCTTTCATCGCACGGTAAGGAGATAAAATTAATACCGTCTGCAAAATAATTAGCATGTATGAACTGTAACAGACATTACATCAGTCAACAAAGTGGGCATCTTATTCGAATCCGAAGCCATGAACAACACAAATTGGCTGTAAAATGACATGTTATATGTGTTCTTTCATATCAACCAATTCTCGTAGATAATTATGGACACCAATTCAGTGATTGGTGGGATAACATGGGAATTTTAAATAGAGGAAACACCAAAAATATAGTCAGGGAATTCCTAGAAACCTGGTTGGCAGTCAAGTGAATCAGCCATCGATTAACAAGCACACGTTAATTACTATAGACCAAATTTACCAGCTAATAAAAAGTAAATCACGTGACAAGAATATTCATAATTCCAAGTCACTAAACATGACCAACAGAGACGTAAATTAACAACCAGTCATGACAGTGGTTGTCAGAATGGCGACGATATATATATATATACTACTGATAAATCGTAACAGTGGCACACATCGCACCACGACATTACTAATCCCTTGGGTTTGGAGTGGAACATAAGGCTGGCATCAACACAACAGTATTCAGGTGAGGAGTCGAGTGCCAGCTAGGGAAGGGGCAATCAATAGATGAGGCTGTGAAGCAGTTACATTGATTGAGACAGTTAAGCCATGTATTATACATTCATTTCTCACCGTCGTCTTTCTCGACAATGGGCAACATTAGCTAACTGACATAGGTACGACCAAGTTGGAAAAGAGTTAGCCAGTGGTGGTGGTCAAACGAAAACATGGCTTCATCAGTCAATGAAATCGACAACAGTTAGTTTAACCCATTTAAGTAGGGAGGTGTATACTGCCTGACTGGTTGGGGTCCTCGGTAGGGTAGTGAGAACCAATGAAGACTGGAGACAATCGGTGATATGGCTGGCTCAAAATGATTGTTCTCGGTGATGGCTGGCTGATGCAGATGCACCCACTCCTTGTGACGTATAATACCCAATAAAACTACATTGTTGTTTCATATTATTATTCTTTTTGCCTCATATCTCTGTTTTGCATTACTTTTTACTTTCTTTCCTTGCTTTGTGTGCTACATGGAGGGAGTGTGGAGACTAGAACTGCTGCTGCCTATCGGTACAAAGTTGTATCTTGGATCCAACCAGTCAGTCCCTCTCTTCTGTTTTCTGTCATCCTCTTCAATTAGATGGACGACTGACCATAATCTCTCATCTCTTCTTCCAACTCACCCTCGTGCCAACGACCCACTCGTCCGTCGCTTCCCGTTGGGATTTCACTCGAGTGATGGATGGTCTGTACTGCGCGCGACACTATTTGATGGCCTCCTTTCTCAATGTATTCCCGATCAACCAATCTCAAATCCATTTCTCATATATATTTATCTGTTGGTTTGTTCCACTACAGAGTTTCTTGTTGCTAATTCTTTCTGATCGGCTATATGATCTTCAGTGTGAAGCCAGTTAACCAACGAAGGTGGCAGCTGTTGATAAATGTCCACAGCAGGTTGTTGGAAATCCTTTTCATGAGGCATCCACTAAGTTTCCAACTCATACAGAAGAACTGACTGACTGACTTGACATTTGTGTTGAAAATGCGAATCCTTCTCTTTATACTGAATTAATGCAGAAGATTTCCAAACTGACTTCAGGTTGATGGAAGTGTATCTTGCTTGTCTTACGGATTCTGGTTGACTGACTTTGACATCTTCATCTGTCTGTAGTTGGAACGATGCTTCATAGCCAGACAAGTGAAGGAGTTAATCTCTGTTAAATATCTCCCACTGATGTTGATTAGTGCTGGTTGTTGTTGTTGCTGTTCGTTCGTTGGTTGGTTGGTTATCTTCATCACCTCCGTCTCCAGCTTCACTATGTTCACCTGGATGGAGTCTTGTTTTCGCTACCAGTCAGCCTCTACAGCAAATTTGTTGATTTTCGCCTAATAAGTCTTCCAGTTCGTGTGACATTAGACATATATCATCCAAGTGCGAAAGCCATATCTTCTAGAGTCTTCTTATCGGTCATTGAAGCGTATTCCTGTTCTCTTACTCACTCCCACCGCACAATCTTACACATAATCCAATCCATCAAAATTAAGAATATCATCCCTGGTGATATTAGACAGCTAGGTTGTCTTAAAACAGTATTTACTTAGAACGCCTCGCTGAGATTTCCATAAGTGGATCAACAGACACGTGTCACTGTCTTATAGTTGCTGGATGAGATCGATAAAGACTCGGGCATTGCACGCAGTAATGTTGAATTAGCTTCCTAATTACTTCCCGGTCAACGCTGCACTATCGAAGGCCTTTTCAAAATCGATGAAGTTGTTGAGGGAGAGAGAGATGTTTGACTGCCATTCTATGCTTTGTTCGTTGACGATGCATCAAAAAAACACAGAAGCCATGTAAATTAACCATAAACCAAATTTATGTAATTTAAATAATACTTATCCATGCCTGTTCAATTCGTGTGTCCCTACATAGACAGGAATAAATATATTATTATTACTATTATTTGAGTAACAGGGGGTGAAATAATTGATATAATTACTCAGAAGTGGCTTTGAAGTAAAAATAAAAGTTATGAATTACGTAGTACTCAATGGCGCAAAGAAAGAAAGCGTTGGAAATTTGATAAGGTTAAAACTGTTGTTGAGTAATGAGAAGAAAGGTGGTGGTCGAGTGTCCATTTAACAAATGTGAAGAGGGTGAGAAAATGTACAAAAGGAACATGTGAGAGAGTGATAATAATGAATTAGTTATTAACGTAAAAGCAAACTAAAAGTAAAATTGAAAACAAAAAATAAAAATAGAACCTTTTACAGGGAACGACGAATGAAGAGGTTAAGACCAAGGGAGAATAAGAGACTGCACAAAAGTTTTCTGTATATAGAGTTCAGGGACTGTATCGACGAACTGTCGACTCATCTGGCACACACAAATGCCGAAACCTGACGCTCTTTGTACTATTTGGCCTCACTTTGTAGATGATTTTGAAAGACGACTCGGGTAGAGCTACATTCCTCGAGTGTTCACCAAGTGCACGAGAAGTGAGCTAGTAACTGACCGTCTTGCATTGTCCTTTTGCTAACCATGCCGGATAATGTTCAGAGATGCGTTTGGAAAGTATGCGACGGCTTTATGCAGTTAATATAACTACCTCCACACGAGCAGGCGAATTTGTCAACACACATTGAAGCGGCTCGTCCAAAGCGGCAGTTTATCCTTCATACATCCATTGATCGCTGGTCGGCAGTACAAATCGATCCGTAGCTAAGCCACAAAGAAGACTTTTCTCACTGATCGGCATAACCAACGGTTCTTCAAGATCTCAGACACGGTGTCACCTTTAAATTCAACGCTCACAAACAGCAGTTTCTTCACTGCACCGTCTAGGTTCCTTCAGGCTTTTGCTTTAACTTCATGTTTTTTCTCGAAAAATCTTGGAGGATATCCATTTTCTATGAGGACTTGTCTGAATCGCTCTAATTCCCCGTCTATTGTATCACTGACAGGCATATACCTTCATATTCTTGAGGATGACGAGTGGATCAGGTTTCTCTTTCCTTTTTTCAAAGGGACCCAACTGTGAAAATTCATGTATCCACCATCCCATATTGCGTTCCTGTAGATCGATCTTTGAAGAGAACCAACGGATCTCCTATTTAGAAAAACATCCGAAAAAATGGAATTCCGGGCTTACCTCTGATTCGAACGTGAACTGAATGGCATGATGACAGCTGTTGAACTCCTTAGTTATCATTTACATGTTGGTATTTTCGTCACATATGATGAAAGTATCATGAGACTATCGATAGTGGGTCATAACGTATTAAAAGTATGAACCAATCATAGTTGATTTATCAGTGTAGTAGATTTCTTCCTCAAAAAACATGAAAACGGGAGATGGAGAGAGATGTCATCAAGGAGTTTGATATATATTACCGTGATGTCCATGATACACATTCATCTTACTTAATGACAATATCAACATAAATGAATTTTTTCACTCGACACTAGTGAGTAGTGACTAGTGTAATGTGTCTGGTCGTTCGTTTGGTGCAGACTGAATTCCATCAGTCAGTCAAGTGTGCAATATAACGTCTCTCACAGATACCTTCAAGAGTTCAAGTACAGAAGATCTGAAGGCTCAAATATCAAGCAAATCACAGTGGAGAAAAGCCAATCTACAGTCAACTTGATTTTGAAGGTGAAAATATTACAGAGATTGTCAACAGAACATTGAGGACGTCATTAGCCAGAGCCCAACCTGCAGTTAGCTAACCTGGTTTCCGTCTATCGAACAATTTGCTCGCCTTTTCTGCAATCAAAATTCGACAGATATCCTCCTCATGTCAACAACTCCAACTGTATGTACAAATTTGCGAGCAAGTATCCACGGGAACAGTTACATTCGAAGAACAGAAAAGGGGAGAACGGCATACCTCTGATTTTTTGAACATGTATCAAATAGCCTATGTCTCCAGCTGGGAACAAATGCTTTGTTTGAACAGTGTCGTCGCCAGGAATCTCATTGACACGGGTTATGAGGTGGACATAGTAAGATCGTTAAAAACTATCGATGAGCAAAAGAATTCAATTCTCCTTGAGTTTTCCGAAGCAATCTCCATCAAGCGCCTGAAACCAGATTTATGCGTTCAGAAAGAAGCTCCGTTAACTGGATATTTTCACTGCTCATTCATCGGATTACGTAATACCGGAAGTTTCCATTGTGTATGATCCTTATTGCTCGGAATAGTGTTTAATATATATATATATATATATATATATATATATATATATATATATATATACTTAATAATGTTTTTGGTCTGTAACCAGCAACTGAGCTGGTGAAAAGCCAACGAAACAAACGATAATGGTATCATCTTCGTATTCCGCACAAACCACAGTGTTGTTCTTGCTTTATTCTAATTCATAATGGGGAATATATGTATGAAATCTACTAGTTGATTGTTTTGACAGCTTTTTATCTCTTATTTTTAATGCCCACCGATCCCCTCTACCCGGAACCCCTATAATTCATAAGTGTTACAGACTAAAGTAACCACATGATGATCATCAGGAACTAGTCGAAAAGGGATATATATTTATTCGTTGGAGGAGTTCATCATCAGCTAATATCGGTTGGTTAGAGAATCATTGCAAAACCACCTGGAAGTACTGCACAGCCAGCTGTTTCGTCAGCATAGCTTGGGACTGACTCTTCGTCAGTAAGCTGTTCAGTACTCCCTATAGGTTTTCAATGGTTCTCTAACCCCCAACCGATGTCAGTGCTCATGATGAGATCCTCAAACCAGCCAATCAAACAAACAAATTCCCTACAAAACCAATACTTGAAATATATATATATATATATATATATATATATATATATTATGAAATGGGAATTTTCAAACGATGTAAAGCACACACACTACATACCACTAACTGCTTTCATGACCACATGTAAGGTGATACCGCATAGGCAAACGAAGAAACCAACCAAATTGACAGTTGATATGACATCACCATTGAATTTTGCGGCCAAATACAGCGTGCAAACTTCCTAAAAAATGAAATATTATTCGAAGAGTATTATGCACAGAGTTAAATAAGATTAGAAAAGAGCATAAATAAAGAGAAACTGATAGGTAATCAATCAATCAATCACTAAGCTTATAGAAAGAATACCTCGTTATATATTTTGAATTTTGGTTCTGTCTAAATACAACAGTTCATTTTCCCAGTCAATATTGATATTGGCTGGAGGATTTCATCATATGAGCACTGACATAGGTTGGTTAGAGAACCATTGAAAAACCTGCCACAGGGAGTACTGGATAGCCGTCTCGTCCTACTTTGCGACTCTTCATTAGTTCGCACCCATTACCAGGGCTTATTGGTTACAAGACCAGAGAGCTCGTAAACAACTAAGCCACTAGGACCCGATCCAATGATCCATGAATTCATGATAGGAAGGTGAGGCAGTAACTCGCAGTTTGGGGAGGGCTGGCTGCCAGCCAAAATTGGTAGTAATTTACTTCACTATGTACATCCCCAGTAAATTGGTCATGAGAAAAATAGGAACAAAGACTGATTCAACAACCAACTACAGCAGACTTTGCGTAGGCGGATACAATTTGCAGATAGATAATCTGAACTTCGAGAAATGGTCACAAAGAGATGAAAGATTAACGTTCAGCGAGAAACCACCAATCAGAAGACTGTTTGTTTGCTTACAATAATCTATAATAATGTACATGAAAATCTATAAATATGTGTTGATTTCCTATATAAACGATCTGTTGCCTGACCCTTGTCTTCTGTTGTTACAATAGAAGAAATTGAGAAATGGTTGCGCTATGTCATGGTCAATTATTATTATTATATCCTTTAATTCCTGGAGGAGCACAGGGCTTCACCTGCGCATCTCTATTACCTTCTGTTTTCTGCCAACTTTTTCACCCCGCTTCAAGTCCGCCCACATGCTTTCATCTCCTTTTCACATGACCTCCTCCAAGTCACTCTCATGCTGACGACCAACTCGCTGCTCCCCTTTCGGGTTCCACTCGAGCAATGGCTTGTCTACTGATGTCACTTGATGGTTTCCTCAGTGTATGGCCAATCCATCTCCATTTCTTCCTGCCTATTTGTTTCACAATCGGTTCCTGGTTGGTTCGCTCATTGCAGAGATCCCTGTTACTGATCTTTCCTGGCCGGCCATCTGATCTTGAGTATTGAGCGAAGACAACTGTTACTGGAGGTCTGAAGTTTGTTTGAGATGCTCTTTATGACGCGCCAAGTTTCTGATCCGTATAATAGTACTGACTTCACATTAGAGTTGAAAATCCGGATGTTATTTTTGATGCTGATTGCTGTTGACCTCCACACAGACTTAAGATCAATGAAAGCTTGTCTTGCTTTTCCGATTCTGGCTTTGATATCCTCGTCAGTTCCGCCTGTAGTTCAATCAAAAAAGCTAAGGTGAAAAGGAAACATTGGAGTTGTTACAACAAGGGAACTTAAGTGAAATAATCTTAGCCTAACAACATTTGAAAATGATCACTAACAACTTAAAATGCTGATGATTACCGAACAAAGAATATTCTTCTTGATTGGACACTACTACTACTACTAGTCAGTAACTAGTGTAATGTGTGTGTGTGTGTGTGCGTCTAGTCCTATCTCTTTGGTGCAGACTGAATTCTATCAGTCAAGTTTGCAGATACACGCCTTGATGATTGACTGGATAACTGGTGGGTGCCAACTAGCACGAAACCTAGGTCTAGGCAAGACTTCCTTCTTGTCACTGATTGCCTCTAACCATCTAATACCAACAATTCATCACAGTGCATCGTGATGGCGAGCCAGCCACCTAGTCTGTTTATTGGTGGCCACATTGTAAATTTCACTGATAGAATTCTAATCACGGAATGTACACATTTAATTATAGGGAATAATAAAAAGACGGTTACAGCGAAGAAAATTTCCTTTTCGACGAAGTCATCTTCAACTAGAGGCTGTATATTCGTGTATTTTATCCAACCATCCTGTCTACTTTCTTAATTCTACATTTCCAACCCCCTAATTGCACAATCGATGTCAATCTTCTCAGTAATTATGATGAGTTTTATCCGTCTGCCCCCTTGTTTATTGTGGCATTTTAATTCCTAAATGTAATTTTGCTAATTTGACCTGAAATATTTCTAGGATAATACTACATCCCATCTACCTTACTATATACTGTATCCGATCTTCGTATTTATTTCACTTTGTAATTTTATTAATTTGACCTTTGACGAAAACAGTTCTGAAACTTTCTCACCCACTTACTCTACAAATACAGGAATGTACAGCCTAGTTGATGAATTTGTCGAAAAGAAAATTTTCTTCGCTGCAACCATCTTTTTATTATTCCCTATGACAGAATTCAGTCTGCACCAAACAATGGATTAGACACATCAAACTAGTCACAGACTAGTGTCCAATCAAAAATATCCAATACAGTTAGTCCTACAGGAAGTCAATCACCAGCCAGCTCGAATAGCTCAGTAATAATGTCTTTGATTGCATCACTGGGTGGTGTCGCGCAGGTTCGAAACTCAGACGGAGGAACATGAGTTGTTCCTTCAATGTGGTTGCAGACACACAGACTGACTGGTGAGTGTCAAGTACCACGAAACCCCGGCCTGGCAAGGCTTCCTTCCTATGACCGATTGCCCCCAACCATCTAATACTAACAAAGAATAATTCTTCGGATTCTGCGGTTACAGATCCAAACACACACACACTCACAAAGAGTGTAGGACAACTGATCAGTGTTTCAACCTTAGCTACTTTTGAAATATCATACTGCTTGCTATCAAAGGACTACTAAAAACATCATTTCTGTTCTAAAAACATTTATTTAGGAATCTTCATCACAGTAGTCGTTTGACAACGGAAGCTTACTTTCTTTTAACATTTGACCCCATCCTTGTCACAAATGAAATGAATAAAACATTTCGAATAGTTAAACAACATTATCGACGAACGAGGAGACAGGAATAGTCTGAACCACGACCGATAAGATGACTCTAGAAGATTTGGATTTCGCACCTGGATGATATATGTCTAATGTCATGCAAACTCGATGACTTAGAGGTAGGTCGGCGAAAACCAACAAACTAGCTGAAGAAGATGGTAACGAAGCCAAGACTCCATCCAGGTGAACATAGAGTGCGTCGGTGGCACAGTGGTTAGGACTCTCGCCGACCATGCACATGGTTCGAGGTTCGATCCCCTGCCGACGCACACCTGATATCTATGGTCGGCCTGCAAAATTTGGGCTACCGATATCTATGCTGAAAATTCCACACTTGTACCAAAAATACGGTGTGGAATCAAGCTGTAATCAAGAATAAAAAAAAAATAGAGAAGGCTAAAACGGAGGGGATGAAGATAATCAACCAGCGGCAGCAACAACAACAACAACCAGCACCAATCACTAACAACGAGGAGATTTAACAGAGGTTACCTCCTCCACTAATCTAGGAAGCATCGTTTCAGCTACAGACGGATGGCACAGATGAAGATGTCGAAGTCAGACAGCCAGAACCAGAAAGGCAAGATACGTCTTCATAAATCTGAAACCAGTTTGGAAATCTTCTGTACTCAGCAGAACGAACACGATTCGGATTCTATTCAATACCAATATAAAGTCAGTCCTTCTATAGGTGTCAGGAACTTGACGTGTCACGAAAAGGATTCCCAACAGGCCACAGCAGACTTTTATCAACAGCTGCCTTTGCTGGCTGGTTCCACACTGAAGATCAATTGACTGTCTCCAGTGATTTTTCCAATTGCGATAGACACGATATTGCGACAGACAACGGGTAACGAGGAGACAGGTATAAGGTGGACCCATACACAAAAAAAAATTGGATGATCTGGATCGCGATTTCGCCGATGATATATGTCTGATTTCCCACAAATTGGAAGATTTACAAGTGAAAAAAAGCAACAAGTTGGCAGAAGAAGCATTGAAGATAGGACTTCAGGTGAACACAGAGAAAACAGATGTGGTGATGATGAAGATTCCTACCCGCCAACAGCAGCACCAACAACAGACAACAATCAGCATAAATGGGAGAAATCTGAAAGAAGCAACCTCCTTTACCTACCTACTTACCTGGGAGGCATCGTTTCGACTACAGGCCGACACAACTGATGAGGATATGGCAGCGAGGACAGGAAAGCAAGGCAAGTTCTCATTACTCTCACTAAGTGGAGATCAACAGCACTCCTCAGCATGAAAAATAAGATCTGGATTTTCAACTCCAATGTGAAGTGAGTGCTACTATTTATGAATCAGAGAAAGGGCGCCGCGCCCCGCCGCGTCAAGAAGGGCACTTCGCACAAACTACACATCATCAACAGCTGTCTTAGCTCAGTACTTCACCCAATACTAGATGACCGGCCAGAAAAGATAAGCAACAGACATCCCTGGCTATGAAACAACGAACTAATCCAACCCAGCTGGAACCAACAATGTGCCACAAATATGCAGGAAGAAATGGAGGTGGGTTGTATTGTGGCCATACTCTTAGAAAAAAACTATGAAGTGACTAGTGACATCACTCGTCAGGCTCTCTCTGTCTCTGTCGATGGAACCCGAATGGGAGGGAAGAGGCTAGTTAGTTGGCCATGAGTTTGAGGTTGACATGCATGAGGAGGAGGTGATGTGAAGAGGAGATGAAAGTATGTGGGCAGATGTGGAGCCAGGTGAGAAACGTTGGTGGAAAACCGAACGCAATGGAGATATGCGTCTGAAGCCCTAAAAACAATATTTATTATGGACATATAATTGCAGAACCCCGCCTACATTACTAGAGAGCTAGTTTTCTAGCCAGTCCCAAGCCCGGATAAAGAGGGAGGGTTGGAGCGTGGTGCTAGCAACTAAAACCCCAAAACTTTACCAAATCGCTACAGAAACTTCAGCGCACAAATATATTAAAAATTCTAAAAATATAAACAATAACCTTATTGTTCGCTGGAATCGGGGAAGTGAAATGACGCAGGCTGGTG